ATATATATTCTCCAAGTGGATGGAATGACATAAAGGAAATAGACGTGAGCTTAAATTTGACTTTGAAAAGCACAAACCGAAAGGCCATCACAACATCAAGAAGGGAATTAGAAACGTTTGGGGGCCGAATTATTGAATAGCAGTAGTGATGTGTACACATATATTTTCATAGATATCTATATTTGATGTTGTTCGAGTGCACGCAAACGACACCCGCGGCATCATCCGTCTTATTATTTATTGTTCATCCATTGTTCAGTTCACTCATGCATCCATTCGAACAATCAATCCTCAATCCCTATTCTCGGTTCATTTCATTATTCATTCAATAAATTGCTTTCATTTCTATACCACCTACAAAAAACCAATCGCATATCTTTATCATTCATTCAATGACGATTCATTATCCTCATTCCATCTCCCATAAAGATCAAGCAAAACGCATATATGAATAAAGATCAAGTGCAAACACATATTCAATTCGCATTGCAATACTAGCGTATGTAATACTAGCATACGTTGAAACAATAATAACGCCTAATGGTTCATATTGGTGAATGGATAAACTGATGGATAGATGAAAACATATCATACGGATTCTGAAATGGTTTCGAAATGATTACTCGTTACCATACCAACCAAAATATCAAGACACATAAACAAATGCAATGAATAATATTGCGAAGGTAATTTAAGGCACCGTTCTATGGAGATTAATCGATAGGCAGAAATGCACATAAATATAGATCGAGGGACAGATAGAAAAATACATTACAGGCTTGTACTCAATTAGCATAAAATTTATCTTAATAGCATTCAAACAGAACATGCATCCTTTGTTAAGGCGCTCTAACAGCATCGCATACATTAAGACAACACCAGAAATTAACTCGATTCATCTCTTTATAAACAATCTCAACCTTTTTTTTTCAATTTCTCTCCCTACATCTCGAACCTAAATTGAGTGCTAATTGTAAGCAAAATATAGTATGTAGCTGTTTGTCGAACGATCACTGAGGAATGGACAATCAGCATTCAAATACGTCACAAATAGGACAAAATTATCAACTTGAAAAAAAGCAATAACAGAATTGAAAAAGAGGCTCAACCAAGTACGACAAAATATGAGCAATAAGAATCGGAAATAAATAGTTGAAGCTAGAAAAATACAAGAATCCAAACAATTTAAAAGAAAATGAACATATGAAATTGGAAAAAACGGCTGAAAATAAATCCGAGCGTATGAATTATACTCACCTTATTCTTAATCTTCAATGACGATGGACCGAACCTGCATAAGGCGGCTAATAATGTAGCGTAACCATGCCAACTAGCGATATGGAGAGCGGTTTCACCATGCTGAAAAAAACAAAAAAACTGATGTTGAAGTTTTCCTTAAGAAATATGTGAAAACAATAAATGTTCAAGTTGAAACCTAAAACGCAATACTATTGAGAACGTTGAATAACTTCGCAAATTACATTCATTTGTTTAAAAATCAATGAATAACTTCAAACCTCAACAATAAAAACATAATTTATAACTTCAGCTAACTAACTTCATCTTGTAAGGAGATATTTGCACCACGTTCCAGTAATATTAAAACTGTTTCCAATTGTGTATACCGAGTTGCTACATGAAGCACCGTTTCCCCGCTCTAAACTGAGTTTTGTTTTCATGAAGTTATTATAGGTCATCACTTTTCTATTAACGATGAATCTTAGAGATAAGAATTTAGATAAAACAAGGATTTTCCGAATTTAGGGTGTAAAATCAAGCACCTATAGAGAATATATGATTAAATTGACAGCTAGTGTGCGGAATTATTTGTGAGGGAAATGATAGATAAAATAAGAAAATATTTCAGATAATTTGACCAAATTTGTTGAGACAACCGTCGTCATTAACAGAACACCGCTGAACTCTATACAATGGCGCGTTGAAGGAATTATTGGGTTGTTGCATAAATTCATGTGCTTTTATTCAAATTGAATTATTTCTGTTGTCCAAACAACAAATCACTAATATTATTTCATTGCTTAACTCAACAGTAGTCTGATCAATGCAGGCAATTCTCACACTATCCGCTGCTCGCTTTGCAGATGCACTTGATGTCAACAATATTCTGTCAAATAAATTCATATTTGTTCCTTGAAGACACCAACTTTTAACGACTGCAACATTATGAAAAACAAACATGTTCTGAACCTTATTAACAGTATTGATGTTGACATTTTCATTCAGCAAGTAGTTCACTACAGCCAAATGTCCCTGCCTAACAGCCCAAAACAAAGGCGTATCACCTCTTCGATCACCAATATCTAACGCCGCACCTTTCATATGCAAATAATGTACAATATCATATTGCCCTGATCCAGCACTTATATGCATTGCTGTTTCACCCAACTGAAACAAAATTAGCGATGAAAACTTCAATTAGCTCTTAAAAACACTTTTATTAAAATCACTTGAATAATGCTTTGCTTAAAAATTCATTAATTTTATCATCTTAAACAATTATGTGAGCATTTTAAACTGGTGTTAAAAATTTTTGCATCACTCCATTTGCAATGATGATTACGTTGCAAAAGCCCTTCGTTAATTAAATGCGCCCATTAACTATATATATATATAT